ATTTGTACAAGCGCAGCTGCAGCTGTGCGGCCGTGTTGGGTGACTTTGCTTTGCACAATTTTGTGTGCTTTTTTTTCGTGCATCTTATTGTGTTGTTTGGAGGATACAACTTCGTTGTTTTCAAATGACCTCTAAATCCCCAAATGACCCATAAAGGCCAAATGGCCCTTATATAAGGCCTGCTTTGCGAGGTAGCAACCCTTTTAGAGGTCAAGCCGTCTTCAAGGTAGGGACAGCACTCGGAGGAGGGCACCACCCGCGGCCCACGCCGAGGTACCCGACCGGCGAAGAAAATTCGACTCTCAGCTCGAGTTCCCGCCGGCGCCGAGGTCATCGTGCTTTCGGCCTTGGGGCGGCGCCATGGCTGGTCTGGGATCTCATTGGCGAGCCCCGTGCCATCTTCGCCTGGGAGGTGGCGGCGATCCAGGTCGCCGATTACCACATTCCTGGAATACGCCACCGTGGCGACATCATCGAGGACACGCGCGAGGACATCGCCGCCGAGATCAGACATATCGACGCCCAAGCCGAGTGCCTCATCCTCTTCACAGCGGCGCCGCCGTGTCAGGACTTCTCTCGGGTCGGCGACCGCGACGGACACGCCGGGAATCGAGGCTACCTTTTCAACTTCAATTCTTGGATGAACTTCGCCGCCGACTGGCTCCACGACGCTTCTGCTTCTTAGTGGAAAACGTCGAGATGACGCCGGCCGACGCCGCGGAGGCATCTAAGCAACTTGGCTGCCAACCGGTGTTCGCCGATGCGGCGGACTTTGGGTGGGTTGGGCGACCACGATTGTGGTGGTCGTCTATCGACTGGGACGAGGTCACACACGACCCGTCCACGGCGGAGCGCTGGACCTGCTACATCGCTGCTGGGATCGCCTACGCCTAGACTCGCCGCGGGCCGCGCCGGACAGCTTCGACCTCGACGGCCTCAAGTTCTCCGATGCAGTGGCATCCGGCCGAATACGACTCCCGTGTTCGACCACGCCGGCCGCCGATGAGAGGGGGAGACCACCGCCGCGATCCATGCGGGGCAAGGTCACGACGGATGTCCAGCAGCGGTGGTTAACGCCGTGGCACTACCAGCGCGACGCCATGCTCGCCGATGATCAGGGGAAGTTGGTGGTGCTGACGCCGGGCGCCAAGGAAGCTGCACCACAGGCCAAAAAACTTCACGGCGCAGACGGCGAAAGGCGAACTGGAACCCAGGACCCGCCACCGGCTCCTCGTGAACTCCTTCGCCGTTTGGGCTACCCCGACCTCAAGGCGCTCACCGAGGACATGCCGACGGGATCCAGATGCTCGGGAAAAACAGGCCAGGCCCTGGCTGGCGACGACGCGAAGTTGAAGACGGGAAGTACCAGAACCAGAACCCGGTGCCCATCGCCGACCTCATCGCGACCAACGCCGAGTATGTTCGGCGCAAGGTACACACGGCGCGGGTCGACGAGCACTCTGAGAAGCTGCTCCTCGAGCTCATCGCCGAGAAGAAGAGGGCAGGGTGATTGGACCCACGCGGCCGCCGGAATGGCTACACAGCATCCAGGAGACAGCGGTCGCCGATCACCAGAACGTCGACACCATCAACGAGCCAACGCCGGGCGACGCATTTCTCGCCGCCTCCTTCCCGGTATGCCAGACCGACGAGAACGGCGACTCAAGGTGCGGCGCGCCGAAGACTGGCGCCGGTCGGGCCACAATCCGACGGTCACGGTCGCCGATGTGCCGACACACCACAATATTGTGGGCAGCTTCGTAGACTTAGCCCGCCGGATGGCACACGATCGCCGGCGACTGGTGGTGTTCGGCCACGACCTGCTGAACGCCTACAGGCAGTGGCCTGTGCGCCGACCGTCGCAGTGCGGCACATTCTTAGCGACGAAGCACGGCGTGACCTTTTGGTTCCACATGGCGATGAATTTCGGCGCCACGGCGTCAGTATGAATTTCAACAGAGCCGCCGATGCATCTACAACAACTTCGTCGGGGGTTGTTGTTGACGCCGACTGGTCACTACGTGGATGACTTTAACGGCGTGGAGGACGAGGACCTCGACGAGTCCGCCGCCGACGGCTTCCAGGAACTCTTCGCCGCCCTCGGCTTCCTCACTAAGAAGTCCAAGGCGCAGCCGCCGGCCGCCGAGCACATCGTGCAGGGCGTGACCTTTCACATCGACGAGAGCGGCGTGACCTTGAGCCCTACGCCGCAACGAGTGGAGAAAATCCTGGCACAGCTGCGGCGCCGAGCCCTGGACGACGACAGCCTCACCCCCGACGACGCATCCAAACTGTGGCGGGACGGGTGGCCTTCCTGACACAGGCGGTGTTCGGCGCCGTGGCCCGTGCGGCGACCAAGGCTATCTATGCCAGAGCCGCCGATACGGCTGCATGGTCCAACGACACTCTCTCGCCGGGCCTTGCGGCGGCCCTCCGGACTTTGGTGAACATCCTGCCGACGACCAGACCAAGGTTCGTGCCCTTCGACGCCGCCGAGCTGGACATGGCTGTGCTCTACGCCGACGCCCTTTTCAAAGACAGCGAGCGCCGACACAAGGCAGGACACGTGCCCGACGGCCTGAACCCATCGCCGCAGCAACGCGCCGTCAATGGTTGGGGCTACGTCTTGAGGATCGGCGACAGGGTCTACTACGACCATGCCGCCGTGATTCGTCAAGTTGTTCTCGGCGGGGCGTACATCTATATGCTCGAGGTGTTCGCCCAGATCATCGCCTTCGCCGCCTTCGCCAGGATGATGCCGCCGATCGTCGTGGCCTTCATCGACAACACGGCGGGTCAAGCGGCGCTGACGAAGGGCTACGGCAAGGACGCAGCGGTCAACGGCATGATCTCCGCCTTTTGGACACTCGCCGCACGCCGCGACTGGTTTGTGGAGTTCGAGAGGGTGCCCTCCAAGGCCAACGTCGCCGATGCCGTTTCCCGCGACGACTTCTCCAGGGCACGCCGTGAAGGCTGGACCCGAGTCAACAGCCGGGACGCCGAGGTCATGGAAATCTTGGCGAAAGCCGTCGCCGACATCGAGTTCGCCAACACTACGGCGGCTGACGAGATGATCATGACGGCGAGTTTAACGAAACTGGACTGAGCCGGCACGGTGTGGGCAGTCGGTGCGCCGGGCGGGT